AGGTCGTGAGTTCGGTTCCCGGTACCGGAGAAAAAAAAAAAAAAAAAAAAAAAAAACCAACCAGTCTTCTGAACTTGTGAAAATTGCAGGTTAATAATCTGCCATGTAAATTTAGTAAACCCTATCTTATAGGACTATATAATCTACATATGCAATACAGGACAAGATGAAGGGAAAATATGTTTAAATATTTGTCCAACATATTAAAAATGGCAGTAATATTACCAATCCTTTTCGTCCCTGATAAAATTAGTCAACACATCAGGAATTCTTTTCAAAATCTGAAGCTATCACATAGTATGGAATATTCTCATATGAAGGACATTGAGTGATTAAAAAATCACTAGAAAGTAATACTGGAAATTCTCCTCATGAGAACACATTTTAAGTATAGGATGTTAACCCACACTGAACTGAAATCATCATCCTAGAACTGATGTCAAGGAAGAAGTCTCCATATCCCTCCCAGTGGTCCTTCCATGAAAAGCATCTCTATTTACATTTGCTATACCTTTGAAAAGACTTGCTCTCATTTAAAGTTTGCCAAAGTACATTAACAGTAATCTCAGTTAAGGCCTTCTTACTCAAGGAGACCTAGCTCTTCAATTTAAGATAAAATGCCCATGTGCAGCATGGGTAAGGCTCTGGATTTCAGCCCCAGTGGCACAAAGGAAACAAAAACTGCCAAGGTTCTGACTTCTCCGTATCTTACCTCAAAGGATTGCCATTCTCATTTCCCAGACACTTCTTGGAAAAAATATAGTAAACATGGTTTTCAAACTTTGTTCGGCAACACCAGAAACTAAGCAACACCTTCCATTCCTGCCTAGGTGGAATTTATCTCCTTTGCCCAAAATCCTAAAACAATTCCCAGCAGTTTCTCATAATGTAGGGACTGACACTGGCCTTCTAACACTTCTGTTCAAGCCCATGTGCTGAAGACCTGAGATGCACTTGATGGTATCTGGAGGTGGGACTTTTGGGAATTACATATACGTGAACTTGTGAGAATGGGTCCCCACCTTGGAATTTATATCCCTGTAAAAGGAGAACGGAGAGTTGTCTCTCACCTTCTCTCCCTACTTCCTTCCTCTTCCTCCTTTCTCCCCACACCTGCTTCTTTCCATCATTTCTCACTTCCCTACTCTCCTCTTCCGTCTTCCACCCCCTCCTCCTTCCACCCCCTCCCTCTCTTCTGCTATTCCTTCTATACCTCCCCTTCCCTTTCTCCCTAAGTCTGTACCCTCATGAGGCAAAAACAATGAGAAACAATGAAAAGGAACTACCCAATCAACTCTCTGTAATTTAGAGAATGCTTCTGCTTCACTACTAGACCCCCAAAAACCATATATAGAATCACTAATACCCAAGGTTAAAGTATTGGAAAGTGAGGTGTCGGGACATAATATGATGAAGATGATTATATGAGAGTGGGGTACTGTGGTTTTTTTCGTTTGTTTGTTTTTGTCTTTCTGAGACAGGGTCTCCCTGTGCAGTTCAGGCTGGCCTTGAGCTCACTTTGTAGTCCAGCCTGACCTTGAACTCACAACGATCCTCCTGGCTCAGCCTCCCAATCCTGGGATTACAGGCATGCACCACCATGCCCAGTAGGGGTACCGTGTTGTGATCTGCAGCTTATGTAAAAGTCCAAGAGGGTAGTTTAATGACATACTAGTCTCACTGCAGCTCCCATCACAAAAATTTGAAAAACACAACCTAAGTTTTCTTTACTTGAACATCCAGGACTACCATATGTCTTGCCAAAAACCATGTGTTTGATTAATGTGTGTTAAATAAGACTCAAAAAATATAAAAGATAATTAACAAAACTTTATTTCTACTTCCTAGAACAAGGCAAAACCACATATAAAATATTCACTTATTTAACAAAAAGACCAAAAGCGCTAACAAAAGTCAAGAATTTATCATGTTTCAGGATCTAACTCCACTGTATTACTCTGCATACTGTAGGGTTCTTTAACATTCGCAAGAACATTCCATATAGTAATATTCTATTTTCTAAACAGGAAATGTGAGAAATAAAGATGTTTTCAAGTCACCATTCTATAGGGTTTTGTCATAGTAAACTGAACAGATTTAAAGGATTCTGCATGGCATTAACTCAGCACCTCCAACATTAGTCCACCACACAACTTAAATGAAAAGTATATCCCACCAGAAACCTGTAGTTTCCAAAGTCCCACACTCTTCCTTGGGAAATTTTTACCACATTGGTCTCAACGACATTCTCAACATTTTCCTTCTTGCGAAGTTACATATACGTCAGAAAGGAAGTTCAACAAATTTCTTCAAACACTACAGAACCTAGGCTCAAAAATTCTAGTGGCAGAGACTGGGTCTTCATCACTTGAGTACCAGTGCACTACCACAAAGCTTGCCAAAAAGTACACGATCAGTAGTATTTGCCAAATTACAGTCAAGAAACATGAAAGCTAATAAAGATTTAAGTGCAACTTCTACAAATTCTCCAAGAAACATATTAAAACATCTAATTTCCTAAAACCAAAGCAATGAGAAAAGCAATAAAGGAACATGTTATAAACTTTTTCTCCACTGCATCACCCTCTGCTGTGGGGTTCTTTAATATTTGCAAGAAAACACCCTATTGTAAATCCCATTTGCTTAGCCGTATGATCAACAGACTCAGATATCAAAACTCTTGGGATGAGCACCAGGGCACGTGGCCCTGGCAACTGCCCTAGGATTGGCAGTAGGGCAAGATTGGGAAGAAATCAGGCTATGGAATCTTTCTATCTCCTCTTTTTTGGCATCTTCACAGAGAGATGTGAAGTAGGTAGGACAAACCTTATTGACCTTCTTGAAAAACTTCAGGATTTTCTCTTTGTTGGTCTCGGCATGAGCTTCGGGGCCCCACAGGAACTCATGACACGCAGGATCACTGCCAGGCACTTGGTGATACACCAGGTAGTTCAGCCTCACGAAATCTTGGGTGAGGAGCTTCTTGGTATCTCCAAACATCATGTGCCTCTTGCTGGGGTGCACTTGCATCTTTTTCAGGAATGTCCAAATGACTTCCTCAGGAGCACGGTGGTCCTTCATCACGATCACAGCGAGGACTTTCATCAGCAGCCCGGTCTTAGGGTAGCCTCGGCCAGGGCGAATCCTCCCACTGTTGGGGAGGGTCAGCTTGCTGAAAAGGTTGTAGGAGTGATGAGTGGACTCCACTTCTATCACTTCAACTGCGAAGATCACCTCAACATGCTCACAGGCATGCTTGAATAACTCAGGAAAATCATGTCTGAACCTCGGGTTCAGTGACTCGATCATCTCTGCCCTGGTAAAGGTCTGCTTTAAATGAAATTTCTGGAGCATGAACCACTTCAAAATCTCAACCTGGTACTGATGTTCTTCCATGAAATGCTCAGCGCAGGGCCTAGCCACAGAAATGTTCTCCTCACCCTTGTAATCAGAAACTTTGTCAGAACTGGCACAAGTTTCAGCACCAGAAAGATCATTAGCACATGGTGGTCTGCACTGAGGTGTGGAGGAATGGCTGCAGGAAGCAGCACCACGTGGGTCCTGGGAAGAGGAAGGCTCCTTTTCCGCTTCTTGTTCTTCTCCTCCTACCACAGCTGCTGTTGCCTCCCCTTCTGCTTCTGCTGCCATGGCTTCTGCTGTGGATGGCACGGCTTCCTGTGCATCCTCACCACCCTTATTATCACCTCTGGCCTGTGGGCGTTTCTGACGAGCACGGCGTTTGCTCTTGTTACCACGAGGCATGATGAATCTGGTTAGGCCCAAGAGGGACAAGTATGAGGAGGATGGCTTGTGCTGCACGCACCACGCACCACGCACCTGGAGGAGAGAAAAGGAGATTGAGTGAGCATCTCAGGGAAGAGATCTCTCCTTAGTTTGAAGGACAGCTGCTTCTGCAGCTCTCTGTAAGACTGGTGCTCTAGGAAGCAACAGTGGTGCAGTTGTAGAAAGCCTGTCCTCCTTGAGGAAAACACAGTGAGTTACAGGCTACATCATGCTGTCCTTTCTGTGGGGTTCTGGACTGCCGACAAAGAAAAGGAATTGGAGTTTTGTGTTCTAGGTGCTGGGTCTTCTTAGTTTGCTATCACACTATCCCTAACTGTAGGAACATCATGCACTTCTCACTTCTGCTGCTCTCAAGTTGACTTCTCAAGCCCTAAAGGGAAAATTTTGTACTTCAGAGACCAGACATGTAAGTGGAAGCGATTCTCTGGCAATCATCATGTCGTGTGCTCTCCCACACTAACAGTGATGTAGAGCACTCTCTTTCCTGGGTTGCTGACTCTCCTTCAGAGAGTTCTCTTATCTCCAGAGGCTGCCTGCTACTATCTCTGCTGAATGCTTCTTGAATCCTCCACCAAATATGCTTCATGTTTCTCTGATTTGCTATGAAGCAGTGACAGAGACAGCATGACACCCCTTCCTTGGGATTTGTATGCTGAATGTATGGATCAAGCTCGAATTCTGTAATACCCACTCAAATAAAACTTCCTTTCAACCACTCATTTGACCTCCAAAGTATTCCTTTGCCTGTGAACTCTGTGGAGCTGTTGTCTTTAATGCATATGACAGCTATATATACTGCTGCTGTCTCTAGCAGTATATCACAGCCACCTCACCTTCGTCTATTCTTCCAGTATGCATAAGAACAGATGCTTCTGTACTACCTGCTTGGTTTTTGCCTCAGGTCTCATAGTACTCACTTGAACTTCTAGGAATATCTAGAAATTCCCTACTGTGCACTTAAAGCTTTCCCTCTTGGACAAAATCACTCATCACAATTAGCACCAAACCCTACCCCACAGCATGGAGAAGTTAGTGCTAGCCACATCCCTATTCCCCATCTCAAGTTGCCATGGGGCATGGATTTCCTCACTCCTCACAGAGGATCCTTACCCTGACTCCTATATAGCAGGGAAGCTCCCACCTGACTTGAAGCCCCTCCCCTCAGGCTGAGACCCTCACCTCCCTCTAACTCTCTTTTCAGAGTATGTGAACAACAACCATTGTTCTTTTCCTACCATCTTGTTTGATTTGTTTATTTGTTTAATTGGGATTTTTGGTACTGGGAATTGAACTCAGTACCTTGTACCTGCAAGGCAGGCGCTTCTGACGCTGAGCTATATCCCCAGTCCTACCATCTTGTTTTGAAATTGCACATTGTTTTTTTTTTT